ACTGAAACAACATGAAAACCACCCATTTCCCTGTGCCAACACACAGCATGAAGGGGCAGATGCACCCGGGAGGTGAGTGGGCAGGCAGCATGCACGCATTTGGGGGTTTCATTTTGGATAAAAATAAAAATAAAAATCCCAGCCAGGCTTCCTATATCACTGTACCCTAGCATATCCTAGTAAGAACAGCCAAGCTGCGTTATTACAGAGTGCTTTTGCAGTTGTGTTTTCACCAGGAAATACCACATGCTTCTATTGATATTGATACTCTAGAAATATAGAGCAAAAACCAACAACAGATAATGCACGCATTTCTGCTCATGTCTTAAACCTTCTGGATGAAAGGGATTTGAAACGAAACATTTCTGTTGACTCTGAAGTTGGGGAGGCAGAACCACCCCACGAAACGCCAGAGATGGACTTTCAAGCAGCAATTCCCAAAAAGAAGCGTTTGCATTCCTAGCTCTTATGGAAATACTTCTCCCACTTTGTTGAAATTCCAGAAAGTCGGGAGGAAAAAATAAATAAATAAAGAGCAGCCATTTGTTGTGACAACAGAGAAAGCCACATACTCAATATTGCTTGTGCCCCCGGATGCCATCTCGTCGGCTGCCATATGTGAGCCACCCCGCCTGGCATCAGGTTGGGAGTGTGTGAAAAAAGCCCAGTTAAATGTGGCCAAGTGTGTGAATCTGCTTTTGGAAGACACACCAGCCGCCATTAACAGAATTAACAAAATCCCTCACTGCCAGGAGCTCCCACACACGGCTCCTTGAAGGAAAGGGGTTTCATTTCCACACCAATGGAGTTTAAAGACACAAAAACCACTTTTGTTGTTGTGCAGAAGCTCTACATTTCTGACTCAAATCGTTCCCCAAACGCACAGGTATACACTCAGACTGCTGGCAATAAAAGGCACTTTCTTTCAATGCTCTTCAAAGGGCACAAAACCCAGGAGAAAAATCTTCCAAGACAGATAAATGCACTTGCTCATAGACTTGGACACAGGAACTCCATGTAAAAAGCTTCAGGAGACTAATAATGTGGGTGGAAAATTAAGGCACCTCATAAAAGGTTTTTAGTAACAAGGGAACAGATCGCATCAGCTAGGAAAGGTTAACGAAAGCAATTTATAGACACTAATTAGGGCCTCTCTTTAAAGTGCCTTTGCAATGACAAGGTTGGTTTTATTCCAAAAAGGTGGAAAGAAGCTGCCTGGGGAGGGCTGTGCTTCTCACACACAGGGCTTGTCACCCTCAGTATTACTGAGCACTGAGGAGATTTAAGGGTCATTATGAAGGGAAACATGGGGGATGTGCCTGCACAAATAAGCTGTGCAATACTTATACCCTCCCAGGGAAAATCTTCTCAATGAGATGAAAGCCAACCTCAGCCTGCCCTGCACAGCTCCAAACTGCCAAGCGGTGGGGTGAGGGAGGACCCAGCAAACCACAAACTGCAAATGGAAACCACTCTGCTGGACGCCAGGACCAACACTGAGCTTTCATTCCTCTTCTGGGACATCAACCATGAGCATCTGCGGGATTAAATTCCTCCAGAAGCACTGCTTGACATAACACTCTGCCCTGACAGAGTTCTGCTTGCAGGAGGTGGGAGCTGAAGGACTCTGATGCTGCCAGAGCTGTGCCCATGGGGACAAGGGCCCACGTTGATGGCGGCAGGAGAAACCAGAGCACTTTCAGCACTGCAGGAAGGTGAGGCTGTCCTTTGGGTGCTTTATTTCTCAGTTGGTTCCCTGAAAGGAGCACAGCCTGCCCTCAGCTAGGGCAAACCTTCCAGTCCCCGCCTTTGGGGTAGAAGCTCCCCCCGCATACGGGCTGAGTGCGGAAAAGCGCTTCCAGGCAGCAAATGCCACACATTCCCCTAGGCAGCCTCTGGGAGCTCCATCTTCCATTTACAGATCGCCAGCCCCTCTCTCCTGCTCCCCAGGACCACTCCTCAGCAGCTCAGTGATGCAGAAAGCCTGACACGACAGCCTGGCAGCAGCCACCAGCCACCCTGGGACCAGCCTCCATCCGTCACCTTGCAGACTTCAGAAGCCCTTGCGATTTCTTGGCAATTAGTACAGTGGCTTGCAAAGCTTTATTGCATTATAAAGCATTTCTCCTTCCTAACTATTATAACAGAAGCTAAGCACAACACTGCTGCAACACAGCTAGCCTGTGGTCCTTTCCCCTAGGCTAGCTTTGCCTGTCCTCACCCATCTCATGTCCCACAACAGACATAACTGACAGATCCTTCTGAATCTCCCAGTGATCCCCTCACCCATCCAACCCATCTACGTCATCATCCTGCAGACAGATCAGGTTGTGCCTCGGGCTGGACTTGGGTCTTCAGTGTACTGTCATTAGAATGGCTACAGAGCGTGATTCTCCTCCAGAGAACGGCCTTCCCAGCTCCTCTATGGGGGAGCATGGAACGGGTCCAGAGATCCCCATTCTCCCCTCAGACCCGTCCGTAGGTCCTTCAGCTTCAAGCCAAAGGCCCCAGCCGAGGCAGGCAGCAGCCCAGGCCTGGTTCTGTCAACAGATCCCAGTGAGTTGTTCGCAGCAGCTTGTTTGCTAAACCAGGGACTTTCTGACAGATCTGTCGCAGGAGATGCTCACAGCTCCTGCCCACGCTCCTTGTCAATGTCACCTCCTTTAACCCTGTTTCGCCATCCTGCTGTTCCAAAATGGGAAGCATGGTGGATTGGTCCTTATTCAAACAGAGCAGAGATGAGGTACATGACTGTAGGCACCCAGGAACCCACTGCAATGCCTGCTGTGGGGCTCCCCGAACCCTGTTCCCCATGGACCTGCAGGGCTCCATACAGATGGCTCCGTCTCCAAGAACTGCCCCACACAATCGTGCTGTATCCCACAGATGGCATAACCAGGGACTCGGGGCTATTCCAAAGGACAAGGTTGGGTTTTCCCTTCACAGTCACCACCCCACAGAGCTCGGTCCTCCTCCAGCAGGAGGCCATGTCACAGCACAGCGTGCCTTCCTGAGAGAACCCTCACTGGCTCTTCAGCTCCACTAATCACAAATTCATTGCACGGTGCCCATGTCACCCGCTTTTCCACCTCTGGAGTGAGAAAGTTAGAAAGTTATAAATAGAGAGAGCATATTAATAAAGGATGGAAATTGCACACCTGCTCGGAGGTAGCTCAAGAGATGACGGCACCCCCAGCTCTAAACTTTCCTCACGTGAGCTTCTCAACTTTTTAAATCATTTATATTTCTCCTCCCCCTCCTCTTCCCACGTGAAAACAAAAGATGATTCATATGCTGAAATCATCCCCAGGGACCTCCAGAAGGCCAGGAATTCACTCACTTGGCCTCCAGCATTCAGTAAGGAAATATTCCCAGTTTGACATCTAGGTTTGCTGCCATCCCCTCCTTCCCTTTATACCAGTGCCGCAGCACAGAGGGACAGAACCTGCCCGCAGGCTATTTGTAGTTTAATAAACTAGAGGCATCTGAGAAATCCAGCTGGGCAGGGGAAGCACCCCTGGTTACGGCCTACAGCCACCACCTGGGCCTGCTGACGGCCCTCCGTTTCCAAGCAGTGCTGGGCAGGTGGTGGTGTGTGAAAGGCCATCTCAGAAACAGGGACATAACTCTGGGGAGATTCCTCACATCACCAGGTCCTCGCTTTCCCCACCTATACATCGCTTCTTGCAGAAGGTGTCAGAATCCAGAGCAACATTCACTAGCAGAGATACAACACAGCTGGGTAGGTTCCCAAGGCATCATCCTTTGTCTCTGCAACACCAGTGGATCTGGAAGATCACATCAGTTTCACTACCTGGCAGATCAGCAATCCCAAGCTGATCCCAAGCTCCAGGACTTCCCTGAGAAATATTTTTACCTCTCTGTGGAGCATTTGCCCTCAGTTCCCAGTAGGGTTAAGCCCTGTTTTGACGTGGACTTTATGACACTTGGTACACAGTGACTTGGTTGTTAGGAAACCAGGCAAGGACAGTGCTAATACCCAAGATACAGAGGAAGAGGTGAGGCAGACAAATCTCTCTCTTAAAGGTATCTTTACCAATAGCAAAGCAGGTGGTTGGCCAATGTGTAATCAGTGACTCAAGCTCTCAGGGAAGATTCCTTCTTAAAATAGTTACTGCATTGGAAGTATTTTGGAAGTTGGAAGTAAAGTTCTCTGTATTTCATTTATTAAAATCAGAGGAGAACTGCAGCGGCCACTGTAGGAACAAAGACCCAATTCTCTCATTTGGGAGAGTAAGAGGCCTCTTTTGCTGTCCCCTCCAAACCCAGCTGGTGGCATCAGCAGAGCTCAGCTCAGCTGCCCTGCTTCCAAACAATTGCCAGAGCCCTGGTTTCCCAGAGCTCACAGGTTTTCCCCGTGCACTGCTGAGGCTAATTGGGATTGGTTTTTAGGCATCTTTTTCTTCCCTTCATTTTAAACAAAAGCAAAACAGAAATGGTGCCATTAAACCAATTCCTGAAAAATCTGGAACTTTCTCTTCCATGGGAAGCGTTAAGCAAAAAAATGATTTTCATTATGTTAAATAGGGAAAAAAATCTATACACCCATGTAGCTCTCAATCAATCCCCCAAGCAGGGAAGCTGACAAGATTTACACCGACATGTAAATCCCCGTGGCAGACTTCTGAAAAGCCTCTAAAATAGACACATCCAGAAGGCAAAGAAGCGTTTCTCACCTTCTGTAAAAGGAAAGCGTGAAAAGGAAAGAGATGAAAGCTGCCTTCCTTTTCCCAGATCTCGGTCATAACTCCTGCCCCATCCTGTCACTTTGCACCCACTCCTGGTGTCATTCTAGGTAACGCTGGTGTCTCACATTGCTTTGAATGCCCCAACCCATAGCTATGCCAGAGATAGCAACACTCTAGAGACCAACACCATGCCAAGGGCAGTCCATGGATGTCAACACAGATTCACATTGAGGAGCTACATGGACCTCACAGGTAGCCAAGCAAATGAACTGCCAGATGTAAGCTCCCTACCTTCCTCCAAGTCATTCCTCAGAGAAGCCTCCAGCAGAGCAACACTGGCTTCGAAAGACACTTTCTTCCTATTAACAGCATTTCTCTTCTTTTCATGCTTCCGCTTCTTGTGCTGCATCTCCTTCTCGTACTGTGCCCATTTTTTCAGCTGCTGAGCCCTCCGCTTCTGGGCTGCCCGCAGCCTCTCCAGCGTGGGCACCTTGTCCAGCAGCTGCAGCTCTGTCAGGAGGTCCACGTGGGCATCCATCGCTTCTGCTGGGAAAGAGGGGCCAGAGGACGTCCCAGCTGGAAATGGTGTCCTACCACAGGTCCTCGGGATCACGGCTGCCTGGTGCTATACCAGCATCCTGGGGCCAAGCTGGGAAGGGCCCATTGCAGTCTGATGAGAAGTTGGTGGAAGCCTGAAATGAGAGGTAAGTATGAGGGATCAACTCTCACTGCCCCATGCAGACAAATGATTAAGATCAGCCCACTGGAAAACTCAACAGGCAACACCTACCATCTCAAAAGAAGGTTCATTTAATTGCATTTTCATCACTTGATTCTTCTCACTGATCTTTGTGATTCCACCTCTCACCCACTTCAAATACCCAAGTAAAACCCTCTTGACGAGCGGTTCTAACATACAATACATGCACAACTGAAGTTCAAGGTAGTCCTCCTTTATGAACAGAGCAAAGCTTAAGTGAACTAACAAGAAGTTCTTCCATAGCGTTTCACAGGCATCACTCCCTAGACAACTCTGGAGAGGCACATCCCCAGGCAGGTTTCTATCTGCCACAACCCCATAGGCCCCTTCTTACTCCAGTCTTAGCCAAGGGCAGACAGATAGGATGTGGCTCCTAGGGAGGTATTACCAACACTTTAACCTCCTCAGCTACTCAAAAACATGGGGTTTTGTGTTCATTTTTTTCCCAGACATTTTCTCCACGACACTGTAGCCAATTCTAGTTCTGCTGTACAGCCTCCACGCTCACAGCAATGAGCACAGTTACATGCAACCACAACACCGGAGATCACTGAGCAGCAGCACCCACAGAGCAGTGAGCTGGGAGGCCCACGGGCATCCACCATCATCTGCTGCACAGCAGAAGGAAGCATGCCCCAGATTTTTGGGTCAGTCCAACAGGGAAAGATGCACAAGAAATGAAGTCAGTGCCATAAGTGAACTGAACAAGTCCATTCCAAACAGACCCAGTGAACGTGTACCACACCAAATCGAAGCAAGCTACAAATAACCACATGCAATATCAGAGCTGTGAGGAGCTGCTGGGAGATGTCCAAACCGTGCAGTACATCCACTGCATCCCAGTGAATTGCACAAGGCGGAGACATACAGTCCTTTCAAATATTGCCACAGACTTTCCACCAGGGTCTGACCTCACCTATAAATACCTTGGCTCTGACAGCGAGGCATGCCACTTCCTCCATGAGATAATTGGTTTGAAAACTGAAAACAAACAAACTCAGCCAGAGCATACAGACAGGTCGCTTCATCCAGCAAAGGGCCAACAGAAGGCCAAGGGCAGCTTCAGTAGTGCCCACAAACCTTATTTTGACAGTTTTGGAATAGACCTGAACAGAAATAAAACTGCTTATGTCCCATGAGAACTCAAGATTGCAAAACTAAATTAGTAATAATAATAGTAATAATAATGTCTCAGTTCCACACAGGTACAAACCCAAAACCTCGCAAAGTTTTTCGTAAGAGAGATCCCACTAAGCAATCCAAGGACTTGCCCAAAATGCCCTCCAGCAGCAGCTCCACAGAGCGGGCATCAACGCAGCCCTCTTCCCAGAAGAACCCCTTTATTTGGAGACCGACAGCCTTCCCCAGCACAGCATTCTGCTGGGAAGCTCTTCCCACCTCCCGTGAACCCAGCTCTGGCCCACGTGGGCGTTCCTGCAGGTATCTTTTCTGGCAATCTCCACTGCAGTAACACGGGCTGCAGATCTGAAGCCCGCTGACAATACCTCGAGTGGCAGAGATAAGGGCAGGAAATGCCTCTCAGTGTAGCGCATCGCCACTCCCACCCAGCGCCTTTCCCAGCCCACTTCCACCATTGTTTGCTGAAAGATGAATAAATACACCCCAAGAGATACCTGAAGTAGAAATGATGGCCTAATTCTGTGGGTTTTTGGAAGCATGTAAACTATGCCTGTGTTTCTCCGACTACCTAAGAAGAGTTGGAAGCTTTCCTTGTGGACCGAATTTGAAAGGTGCAGCAGGACACCAAGTTACAAGGCAAGGAGAAGCATGCCTTGCTCTGCTTACCCACGTTTCAGCTTTCCTGCTTTCACAACAGCAAAAACGTGGAGAGATGAGCTGCCCACAGAGGGAATGAACAAAATGGCAATAGGGGGATGAACACCAGGAGGTATCTGCTGCTCCCATCAAGGCCACTTCAGCACCAAGAACCAGCCGGTCCTCCAACCACCCAGCCAACCACTAAAGGAGCAGAGAGGTTCCCAGGGAGGGATACACAGCTTGGCTCCCAGACTTCAGCACAGGGCATCAAGCATCCTCCACGGACAGAATCGTAGAATCCTTAAAGTTGGAAGGAATTTTAAAGTTCATTTGGTCCAGCTCCCCTGCAATGAACAGGGACATCTGCAGCTAGGAAGGTTGTTCAGAGCCTGGTCCATCCAGGGGTGGGGTATCCACCACCTGCTGGGCAGCCTGTGCCAGTGCCTCACCACCTTCACCATAGAAGTCATTTTCCTTATATCCAACCTAAATCTCCCCTCTTTAAATCTCAAAGATCCCCAAAAGCCTCACAAACACCTCAGCTCCATCATTGATTTCCAGTGACCTGGTTCCCTTGCTGTGCCAAAAAAGTGGTATGCTGACATCTCATCACACATGCAGGACAGTCTAATTACAGCAAAGTTACAGACCCAAGCATTTGTTTACCTGCAAAGTGACACAGAAGCTGGCTGTGTGGGTGGCTGAGGTTTTCGAGGCAGTGCATTTTGGTTTCTGTCTTATTTAAAGAAAAGGGGAAAAAAAGAAAAAAAAAGACAGCACTTTGTTGCATGCTGTTTCCATGAGCTCAGCAGCTCGGAGCCGAGCACATCCTGCAAGATGGGGAGCAGCAAGGGCAGCCGTGCCAGGGCCAGGAGCAGGGTGAGACACACACTATTATATTGCAGCCACAGGAAGGACCTGCTCCAACAGTGTCAGAAAGTGGTGCCTGCAATGGCATGCAAACACAGGCAAACACAACCTACCAAAAAAAAAATAGTTTGCACTTCCTGTACAATGTGGTTCACTTGCATACAAGATGCATCTCACTAAGTTCAAGAGGACTACTTTAAGCATTGATCTCACTTGCACTACAAAAGACACTGATTCTCCCTTGAAGAGAGCTTGTAAGGAAGAAGGTGTTTCACATGGACAGTCTGTGAAAGGACAAGGGGAATGGCTTTAAACCAGAAGTGGGAGATTTGGTTAGACGTTTGGAAGAAATTCTTCACTCAGAGGGTGATGAGGCCTCAGCACTGCTGCCCAGACCTGTGGGTGCTCCATCCCTGGAGGTGCCTGAGGCCATGGCTGGGCCCAAGGCTGGGGGGGCAAACCAGCAACCGCAGGGAATGGGACTGGATGATTTAAGGTCTCTTCTAGCCCAACCATTCTATGATTCTATCACTCTGATTTCAGCTGCCAACCCTGCGCACTGCACCCTCAACTTGCCTTCACCTCCTGTATACAAACATTTTCCCACATCAGATACAGCAGCTGCTGTTTACACCCTGGAAAGAGATAAACAGAATACATTTGTTCTCCTGTTCCAGGGCTGCCCCCCAGTCCATCCTACCAAGCATTCAGTGTGCAGACATGTGGCTGCAGCGCTGCTGAGGATGAGGCTGGGTCCATGAAAGCAGTCTGTCACCAGCAGTGGGGCAAGGCAGAGCTAAGACCTGCAAATCCCCTGTCACATCTCCTCAAGGAGCTGCTTAAAGCACAGCATGACACTAGCAGAGTGCACACACTTGCAAGAGCCCTTCATGTAAGTGTCATCAAGTGACTTAATTTTTATTCCACTTTATTTATTTATTTTTTTAAAGAAAAAGATAAATATATAAACACAAACTCTGGCAGAGCAAACAGGACACAAGGCAGTAGTTTGACAGCCAAAGAATTCCTTTAAGTTGAGCACCTTTCTAGCAAAGGCAAAATGTACAAGAGCAGCTTCTGCTGACGTGGAAATGATCGTTCATATTCACTGGACTATTTGAGGGAAGACACCTGCAGGACTGGGCCCAGGACTGGATGAAACATCTGCATTCACAGCATAAAGACAAGTCAGAGGCGTGAAAAACGACAGAAATAGCCCTCTCCTCCCCACCTCAAGTTAATCTTCTCTCAGCTGGAGTTGGAAACCAAGCATGAAAGCCTATAGCAGGGACCTGAGCACATAAGCAGCCTGCAGCAGAGGCAGCTGCCCAATTATTTACTTTGTGTGCATCATCCCCTGCAAGGAGTGGAATTTCCCCTTCACCTTCCGACAGGTCTTAGGCTCAGCTGTGCCGTTATAGTGACCAGCCCATCACAACCTCCAGCATCCAGCAGTGAGCACCAGTGAAGAACTCACAGGCTCCTTTTCCATGCACCACCCCCAGCACTGTCCCCGCTCATCAATACAAGGTGTATTCTGCATCACAGCTTAGGTGACCAGTGAGGTTGTCCACACGAGCTGGAGAAAACAGAGCTGTTCTTCATCACTTGCAAACAGCATGCAGAGTCAACCAGAGAGATGCCAGAAAGCCACCAAGAGCGCAGGGTGATGGACTGAAAGACCAAAGATCAAAAGTTTTTGTTTGTTGTTTTTTTAAATAAGCATAGGATACATCAAGACAAGAGGGTCTCGTTAGGATGACCAGAGCCCAGAACTGAGGGTTTCTTGCTTTATTAGAGCACTGCATGTCTCACCACCCACGTTTTGGGCAAATAGTTCATCAGAGCATCGCCGATAAGGATACCGTGCCAAGAAATACTGCCCAAACCACTGCAATCTCACACACTTGTAGAGGGAACTCAGCTGCTGGGTCTGCCCAATGACAGAGGACAGAAGACCTGACATCAAAGGCCAGGCACTGGACTGGGAGTTCAAATCACCCACAGCTAGCACAGAGATGCAAGGCACCTCCAAGGAATCCCGGCCCCAAATGCTTGCTTCCCCCTGCAATGCCACAAGAAAGTCATAATTCCTACAAACCACAGGGGAGAAGGATGCCAGAAAGCCTGCGGTGAAAGGCTGCAATGCAGCTTCCCAGCCTCACAAGGGTTTGCTATTTGCAACTGAAATGTGCAATTCTCCGATATCACACCTCGCCAGGCAGGCTGCACCTCACCCTGGCTGGATCTCCACGCAGTGACTAGGTGGAAAGGCAGTGGCAG